CACAATTCGTACTCCTCGTGTTCCCCAACCCTCGCCCCCATCTCCACCCTTCCTCCTCACGTTCCTCCTCCGCCAACTTTCCTCGAATAGAACGCATAGGTGAGTGCCGTCGTGGACGTATTCAATGCGGATTTCTGGTCAGATATATATTGTCGCACTGTGAATCAGACCGCGAAGGCGAAAAAAAATAATAATAATAAAAATAATAATAATAAAAATAATAATAATAAATAAATAATAAAAAATAATAATAAAAAAAAAAAGGAAGAAAGAAAGAAAGAAGGAAAGGAAAAGAAGTAAGGAAGGAAAGCCCCACCTGTTCATCACCTCTTACGTACTACAAGGCCAGCCACGTGGATGACAGGTTGAGCACTGGCTGCCCCCATCCCCGTGTGTCACAAGGACCCACTTGCACGCAGCCAAAAAAAGGCAAAAAAGAGGTAAAAAGAAAAGGAGGGAGGAGGAAACCAGACCTCACAGAGGCAAGAGAAAGAGAAAAAGATCCAATCAAAGAAAAGACAAAGGAAGAAAGCAAATGACAACACATCCCACAGATAAACCAATTGCCACTGTCACTACAAAGTTCAACTTTTCTTTTTTCTTTTTTTTTCTTGGCGACCATGCGTTGCATTCGGGCGACAGAAGGCAGTCTCGAAATGGGCATGACTGAAACTTCCCTGAAATTTCCCGGACGTGAATCGAGACAACAAGATGATGAGATGTCACCCATCATGCCTGAACCTGAAACTTCCCTGAACTTTCCGCGCGATGGAGCGCGCCATTCAATCAGCACACCACCAAGGAATTGGCACAACGGGCATCTTGCACACACGGGACACATCGTCGTTACTATTGTCCATGTGTATTTATTTTATTATATTGTTGCGATAAATTATTTTATTTTGGTTAAGCGTACATCGCTGCTTTGTTATATTGTGTGATTACATTGTTCATTTAAGTCATTATAGTTTTTAACTAATATTGTTTTATCATATTCTTCAGTTATTAAAGTGATCCTTCTCAACGGCTCATTTTCATCAATAGGATTCAATCCAATTTTCTTGATTGATTAACCACATTACTTAAGTAATTAGCTGCTCTCATATTTCTAAATTCGTGCTCTCTCTCTCTCTCTCTCTCTCTCTCTCTCTCTCTCTCTCTCTCTCTCTCTCTCTCTCTCTCTCTCTCT